ATCCCATAGCATTCCTATTAGATCTGTCTCACACATCAAATTGGGGTGGTTTTTTTTTTTGCCAAAATCCAAATCCAAAGCTGAACTCTCACAGTTCCTGGTACATCAAGGCAAAGAAGTAAGTAGATAACACAGAGTTACATTTTGTTTCCACAGAGCAATATTTTCTCGCATAGCATTTTGCAAATAGTTTTAATAATAATAATAATAATAATAATAATAATAATAATAATAATTTATTATTTGTACCCTGCCCATCTGGCTGGCTTTCCCCAGCCACTCTGGGTGGCTTCCATAGAAACCAAAAATACAGTAAAATATCACAGATTAAAAACTTCCCTGAACAGGGCTGCCTTAAGATGTCTTCCAAATGTCAGGTAGTTATTTATCGCTTTGACATCTGATGGGAGGGCGTTCCACAGGGCGGGCGCCACTACCGAGAAGGCCCTCTGCCTGGTTCCTTGTAGCTTTGCTTCTCACAATGAGGGAACCGCCAGAAGGCCCTCGGCGCTGGATCTCAGCGTCCGGGCAGAACGATGGGGGTGGAGACGCTCCTTCAGGTATACTGGGCCGAGGCCGTTTAGGGCTTTAAAGGTCAACACCAACACTTTGAATTGTGCTCGGAAACGTACTGGGAGCCAATGTAGGTCTTTCAAGACCGGTGTTATGTGGTCTCGGCGGCCGCCCCCAGTCACCAGTCTAGCTGCCGCATTCTGGATTATTTGTAGTTTCCGAGTCACTTTCAAAGGTAGCCCCACATAGAGCGCATTGCAGTAGTCCAAGCGGGAGATAACTAGAGCATGCACCACTCTGGCGAGACAGTCCGCGGGCAGGTAGGGTCTCAGCCTGCGTACCAGGTGGAGTTGGTAGACAGCTGCCCTGGATACAGAATTGACCTGCGCCTCCATGGACAGCTGTGAGTCCAAAATGACTCCCAGGCTGCGCACCTAGTCCTTCAGGGGCACAGTTACCCTATTCAGGACCAGGGAGTCCTCCACACCAGCCCGCCCCCTGTCCCCCAAAAACAATACTTCTGTCTTGTCAGGATTCAACTTCAATCCATCAGCTGCCATCCATCCTCCAACCGCCTCCAGGCACTCACACAGGACCTTCACCGCCTTCACTGGTTCTGATTTGAAAGAGAGGTAGAGCTGGGTATCATCTGCATATTGATGGACACCCAGTCCAAACCCCCTGATGATCTCTCCCAGCGGCTTCATATAGATGTTAAAAAGCATGGGGGAGAGGACAGAACCCTGAGGCACCCCACAAGTGAGAGCCCAGGGGTCTGAACACTCATCCCCCACCACCACTTTCTGAACACGGCCCAGGAGGAAGGAGCGAAACCACTGTATAACAGTACCCCCAGCTCCCAGCCCCTCTAGACGGTCCAGAAGGATGTTATGGTCGATTGTATCAAAGGCCGCTGAGAGATCCAGCAGAACCAGGAAACAACTCTCACCTTTGTCCCTAGCTCGCCAGAGATCATCAACCAGCGCGACCAAGGCAGTTTCAGTCCCATGGTGAGGCCTGAATCCCGATTGGAAGGGATATAAATGGTCCGCATCCTCCAGGCATGCCTGGAGTTGTTCAGCAACCACGCACTCAATCACCTTGCCCAAGAATGTAAGATTTGAGACTGGGCGATAGTTGGCCATACTGGCCGGGTCTAAAGATGGTTTTTTAAGAAGCGGTTTAATGACCGCCTCTTTCAGTGGATCTGGGAATGTTCCCTCAAAGAGGGAAGCATTCACCACCCCGCAGAGCCCATCGCCCAGCCCTTCCCGGCTTGCTTTTATTAGCCAGGATGGGCAAGGATCAAGGAGACAGGTGGTTGGTTTCACGCGTCCAAGCAGCCTGTCCACATCCTCGGGGGTAACGGATTGAAATTGATTCCATGCAACTTGACCAGACAGAGCTCTAGCACTCTCCTGCCCCGGCCCTGCTCCCACGGTGGTGTCTAGCTCCTTCCAAATATGAGTGATTTTATCTGCAAAAAAACTTTGCAAAATCGTTGCAGGAGATCTTGGGGTCTTTACAAGGCCCCGGTGGTAAAGGTGGTTCCGTTAAATTGCGAACCACCTGAAAGAGTCTCCTGCTACTATTTTCTGCAGATGCAATAGAGGCGGTGAAGAAAGTCTTCTTCGCCGTCGCTATCGCCACTTGGTAGGCTCGACGTTGAGCTCTACCTGTGTCCGGTCAGATTCGGAGTGAGTTTTCTGCCACCGACGCTCTAGCCGTCTCAGCGATTGTTTCATCGCCCTCAGCTCCGAAGAAAACCACGGGGCTGTCCGGGCTCCATGCAATCGGAGAGGGCGCTTCGGAGCCAGACAGTCGATAGCCCTGGTTAACTCCGCATTCCAGCGGGCCACCAGGGAATCAGCTGAAAGGCCATCAACATGGGCTAAAGCATCCCCTACCACTCTCTGGAAACCATTTGGATCCATTAAGTGGAGGGGGCAGACCATCCGAATTGGTCCCACCTCCCTGCAGAGGAAAAGGGTCGCGGAGAAGTCCAGTTGCACCAGGAAGTGATCTGACCATGGCACTTCTTTTGTTTCACTTTTACTTAGTGTCAGATCACCCACGTCACTAGAGGTGAACACCAGGTCTAAGGCATGTCCATGACTATGAGTTGGGCCAAACTTATTCAGGGACAGCCCCATGGAGGCCATGCTTTCCACGAAGTCCCAAGCAGCCCCTTGTAAGGTCGTGTCGGCATGGATGTTAAAATCCCCTAGGACAACCAAACTAGGTGTCTCCAGGAGAACATCCGCCACGACCTGAAGCAGCTCGGACAGGGAATCCTTGGTGCAGCGGGGAGGTCGGTACACCAAAAGGAATCCTGTACTGCCCCTATTGCCCAACTTCCAGAACATGCACTCAGAAAACTGGATCTTCCCAGTAGGACGCCTGGTGCAAGCTAGTGACTTCCTAAAAATCACTGCAACCCCCCCTCCCCGCCCACATGACCTGGGTTGCTGTGCGTAAGAGAAACCTGGTGGGCAAGCAGCGGCAAGGACAGGCCCATCTGCTTCCTCCAACCAGGTCTCTGTCACACATGCCAGGTCAAATCCTCCATCCACAATCAAGTCGTGGATGGCAGTGGTTTTATTCATCATTGACCTGGCATTGCACAGCAACACTTTCAGGTCATGTGGGTTTCCCCTGTTGATTCCAGTATCCATCCGGTCAAGGCCAGACCCGGAGGCAGGGATAGTCTTCAAACAACGACTAAACCTGCCTCCTCGGTAATGACATGGTCTGGTCTTAGCGTAACTCCACCTCCTGCCCATGATCACCGAGATCGGATGTCCCAGTGCTTCCCCCCCCTGTGGAACTTGTCCCAGCCATTGTGTTGGCTGGGGCCCCACTCCCAGGCAGCCCTGATCCCGCCCCTTAAAAACAAAACACAAACTATACAGAACCAATAAAACAACAACAACAAAAAGGAACAGAACAATTATACTAAAATTAATCCCCAACCTGGAAGGGAGCAGGCCCTGCAGTCCTCACCCAGCCGATGGTCCGAGGCCTCACCGCAGCAGGAGTCCCTTTATAGCTGGGAGAAGGCCCTGGAAGGGAGCAGGCCCTGCAGTCCTCACCCAGCCGATGGTCCGAGGCCTCACCGCAGCAGGAGTCCCTTTATAGCTGGGAGAAGGCCCTGGAAGGGAGCAGGCCCTGCAGTCCTCACCCAGCCGATGGTCCCCTCTTGACAACAAAAATTAGGTGTGATAATAGTAAGGAAAGGAGCGAAGGACTTTTCTTAATTAACTACCACAGTTACAGCCTGATTCCCATTCCATGGCATTTCTTAGCTCACAACATCCATGCAAAATTGTTAGTCATGCCAGAACTCTACATTATCTTCTTGCATATTGTGTCATAGGATCGGCCCTTATAGTACCTTATGATCTTAGCCTGCTTCTTCACTGTGAGCACATCCTTGTCTGTAAGAATTACAGTCTTTGTTGGAGTTTCCTAGTCCCCAACATTAAGAACATGCATCAGAAGAACAGTGTTGCTGGGTCAAACCAAAGGTCCATCAAAGTCAGGGGTCGACAACCTAAGGCCCATGGGCCACAAGCGGTCCATGGGGGTTGTTTAACCAGCCCATGGACCCCCGCCACCTACTCGGTTGGCTCCCGTGCCCTGCGCTAAACCGACGCGGAGCATAGCGGGGACCGCCTTCCATGATGCTGGCTGGCTTCCTGCAGCCAATGGGAAGCTGCACACGCCTCCTCTGCGCCAGAACAAGCGCCGGAAATAGCGTTTGTGCATGTGTGAGTGCACACACACACTCCGGCCCATTGTGGCATCTGCGGGACCCAGTGGCGTAGCGTGGGGGTGCAGGGGGGGCCGGCCACATCGGGCACAACATCTGGGGGTTAGGGTTAGGGGGCGCAAATCCACGGGTTAGGGGGCGCAAATTACTTGCCTTGCCCTGGGTGCTGACAACCCACGCTACGCCACTGGCGGGACCGTGAACTGGCCCAAGCCACAAAAACTTTGCCGACCCCTGATCAAAGTTCTAGTATTATGTGAGAAGGAGGGGAAAATATTACAGTGGTACCTCAGGTTAAGTACTTAATTCGTTCCGGAGGTCCGTTCTTAACCTGAAACTGTTCTTAACTTGACGCACCACTTTAGCTAATGGGGCCTCCTGCTGCCACAGCGCCGCCGGAGCATGATTTTTGTTCTCATCCTGAAACAAAATTCTTAACCTGAGGTACTATTTCTCGGTTAGCAGAGTCTGTAACCTAAAGCGTATGTATTTGTTTTCTTCACCCATATGCATCCTGCTAATTGCATTCTTCGGGTCGGGGGGGTCATTGTTGGGAAGGGGGGACTGCAAAATTCCTCAGGTGTGCAAAGAAACCACCTTGCAGTTCTTTGTATCCCAGCCTTACAGAAGACAATGAGAATAAGCTATCATGGTGATCACTGATCATTATATTGCACTAAATATTAACATACATGAATGCAGTGCAATTCAGAAAGGTCATAGCTCAGTGGTGGAGCATCCACTTTCAATGCAGAAAGTCCATGTTTCAATCCCTGGCATCTCCAGGTAGGGCCGGAGAGACCTTGGAAAGCCACTGTTAGTTAGTGTAGACCAGTGTTTCCCAAACTTGGGTCTCCTGCTGTTTTCAGACTACAATTCCCATCATCCCTGACCACTGGTCTTGCTATCTAGGGATGATGGGAGTTGTAGTCCAACAAACAGCTGGAGACCCAAGTTTGGAAAACACTGGTGTAAACAGTACTGAGCTAGATAGAGCAATGGCCTGACTCAGTATACATGTTCAATTAAAGGTTTTAAATTTTAATTAATGACTTTTTAACTGAGGAAAGGTAGAAGGATTCTTTTAATGTTTTATGTGGGTTGGTTTTTTGGGGAGGTGTTGAGTTTGCGGAAGGAGAACTTTGGCTTGGCTAAGTCAGGCAACAATTCTTTAACAGCCTTTGCTTAGCAGTCAAGACTTCTGCTTGTCATCTTGAGTTATATAAGCACGCTTGCCATACTGGTGGGCTGTTAGCATCGAGCTACATATAATCATTTTTACAGTGTCAAAAGAGTAAATCTGAAGAGTGTGTAGGATGAAGTGCTATAGAAAGAACCTGTATTGAATTTGATGGAACAGCTAACACAGCTGTGAGGGTACAAATCTTTGGGAGCATTAACAAAGCAAGAAGGCTTTGTGCATTTCTGAGATTGCTAATGAAGTAGCCTGTAATTTCCTGTGGCGCATTAATGAAGAGAATTTGAAAATGGCACTTTTCCCCTTAATGTCTTGGGTCTGCATTAATAACAGCTATCGCTGTTTGGTTACCACCAGGAACTGAGGACTGAAGGAAAAGCCACTTGCCAAGTTATCTCCCTCAACAAAATAGGCTTACGAAGTTACCAAGAAGTATTATGCAAGAGCTGAAGGGTTTGCCCAGCCCAAGATGAAATAAAATGATTTACATAGGTGCAACTGTTATTTAGAAGAGCATTTACAACAACTTCTTTTAAAATGACTCAGAGTGTTTGGCCAGTCCCCAAACGGAACATCTATTCTTCGCTTTGCTTTCTCCTGGCCTGGCAAATTATGGAGATTAGCTGCATTTTAAGACCATGTTTGCTTGATTAGTACTAATTAGAAACTCAGACTTTGTCGGCATTGCTCAAACATGCTGTCCTTGCTTATTTTAGATGCTGGTGTTTGTGGGTGCACAATGGCTGCCTGTTGACCTAGTATATTGCTATCCCGTGCACAACAGCAGGATACACTGGTGGTCCTATTCACGGTTCAGTGTGACTTGCAGGCTGGCACTGCCACCACCATGACATGCCCTCCAACTGCCCCTAAATATTCAATAAACCATTTCCATTCTTTTATAAAAAGTTTGTTATCTTGTTATCTTGTTATCTTGATTTCTTATTCTTCCAGTAAGTTTCGCCATTTGGGACAGATCCTCCTCAAGATCATGTGGGGCCACAACCTCTCATGCAACACAGCAAGATCCCAGGGAGCAGATGGGTCAGCAAGCCCTTTAAAAGTGTGGTGTGTGTCAATATAAATGAATGTGGATGAATCCCTACCTCCAAACATGGGGCAGAATACTGTTTGGTCAGAGAGAGCCCCAGCAGGGATTTTAAATCACAAAACATGCAGCAGTGCTGGTATATAGACCTTTTAAATATTTCGTTGTAGGTCACTTACAGTGACTTCCCCTTTATACCCCCTTTAACAGTGAATAGACTACACAGCTTGATAAGTTTAAAAGAAGTTTACTTACAAACTTATCAAACAAAGGTCAGATCCATGCATTTTTTTCCATGCAGCACCAAGAAAATGTCAGGTAGAAAAGTAAAAGTTTTTAGAACTTAGAAAAATATAGTAAAAGTTTCTGAAGACCTGGCCTAAACTTGAACAGCCAATTGCTGCAGCCGCTGGTTGCCTGATGGGGCTACATACGTACATCTTGTTGGATCAGGATCAAAGAACAGAGGAAAAACTGTTAAGTTTAAAAAAAAAAGAGGTCTTCTCCTATGACAGAATCCATCTTGTTCAATCTCCCATCATTACTCAAGAAGCACGACCCTTTGGCTTAGCTTAGAAATGACACAGCAAATTCTTATTAGGAAAAGGAAAGAGATGTATGGGTTGCAAAACAAAGCACTTAATTAAGACATAGTGTTTCCAATTATGTATGCCAGGGTGAGCTCATTACAATTAATGTCATTTCCAATAGTGCCCCTAAAAATGGCAAAACAAAGTCAGCAGCAGCAGTAGGCTCCTTCCTGTCACACGGCTGCTCAAAGCACTGATAACTGCTTCCATTAGAAACATCTGTGCAGGCTGCTAGCTGATGTAATATGAGTCGCATGATAAGCTGGTGTTTCTCATCATCTGAGTTGGAACCATAATGTGACAATGTTGATATACTGTAGGCAATCAGTTGCAGTGCTCAAGAGAATAAGATACTCATTGGGACTCACCCAGCTCTGTGAAAGCTTGCCAGAAAAGGTTCTGTGGAGAATTCTACATAACCCCTCAAAAAGTTCTATAAAAGTGCCATGGCTCAGTGGTAAAGTACATATTTTGCATGCAGAAGGGCCTTCACAAGCGTCATAGGTACCAAAGCTATGCGGCTGAGGACAGCTCAGCCTCCACCCAAAGTGTGTGGGGACAGGACTGAGCTCCCCCAATCTTGTGGGTCCAGGCCTCACCAGGCCCCACTGTGGCAGAGGGCCTCACCGGGCCTTGTGGCCTTCTCCTGAAGCACGTGACATCACACCTATGTGTCACACATGTGATTTCATGCACACACAACAAGCCCCCCACCATGTCACACAGAACTGGCACCTCCAGTTAAGACTAGAAAAGACTCCTGTTGGAAACTCAGTTTAGACAATACAGAGTCACAGTACATTGACTAATGCTCTGACATGGTATAAGGCAGCTTTAAGAACTGCCACTATGCACATATGGCCCATAGCATATGTTTTACCTATTTTCTCCTTGTGTTTATGTTTATTCTCTTTTTGTCACTCTTGCACTCCAAGCCACACGCAATATGCCAGCAGGCCATCAAAGCAGCTCATCCGTCTGTTTAGGCTGGGTCGTATCATGTCGGATTTTAAGGAATTCAAAAGCATCTGGATCTCCGGGGAAAGAACACCTTCAGCTGCAAGTCAATAGCATATTTGCTGTCGATGAATTGTTTTATATATTCCTACTTTAGTGAGTCAAAGGTCGCCAGTGTTGGTGCACATCTCACTGGTTCGCAGTGTGATTGTATGAATGCTAATCCTTACTGAAGTGTGTTTAGCATCTACACCTCAGGTGATGATGGCACTTTTCAGAAAAAAAATAGAGGGAAAGTATCACCAGAAGAAAAATTCCTGATGAGTTAGTTAAATATTAGAGCTGTTGTGTTTTTCTGTCTTCTGATTGCTGGCTAGGTATCACACTGTGAGCTAATTTATTTGCTACAACAAACTCCAAAGTTTACTTCTCATTTCTTCTCCTGTCCCTGGAAAGTCTACTTCATTGTACACCTGTCATTTGCATTCTATTTTCAACACTTTACTAGAACATTGGAAGTTGGCATCTATGAAAACCAGCAAGGTCAGTATTGTTTGCAATGTCTATGTAATTTCTGCGGAGGGGGGCACCTCTTAAGGAGGTGCAGGAATTAAGGGGAAAGCTCAGTGACAGCTGAAATAGTAAATAAAAACAAGTAGCTATTTTGTGTAGAGACTAAAATCCTGAAAGCAGGGCTAGTCAGACAACTGAAACTGCTGTAGCAGAACATCATGAAATGTTGGTCTCAATGGACTTCTCAATATTGTATGTCCAAAAGTGGTGATGTGGCTGTAAGTGGTTTATGCAATGCTTGCGCACTCCGGAGATGATGCCATCTCACAGCATCCTGACTATAAGGGGCATTTCAAACATGAACATCAGACAGAACAGCTATTGCACCCCAGACACCATGACTCAGATTTGTGCTGTCATGCTCCACAGCTACTGTTACTTTCTTTTCTTTATTGAAGAAACAAGCAACAGAAGAAAATCTGGCTCATTCTGCCCTGATATTTAGCTTTCTGCTACAAAGTTCCCCTTTTTATGGATAGTAGTGTTTCCACAAGTAGCAGTGTTGTTAGGTACTTAAAAGACTCAGGGCGCAAGTGCAGGGCACACATTTACACACACACATACACCTCTGAGCAAATTAAGATGATTTGCAATGTGGCCAGCATTCCTGTAAGCAATTTTGTTTTAATTCTAGAAAAAGAGGTGCTGGAACTCAAAATGAACACTTCCCTTGTTCTCTTATACAGTGGTACCTCGGGTTACATACGCTTCAAGTTACACACGCTTCAGGTTACAGACTCCGCTAACCCAGAAATAGTACCTCGGGTTAAGAACTTTGCTTCAGGATGAGAACAGAAATCGTACTCCGGCGGCACAACAGCAGCAGGAGGCCCCATTAGCTAAAGTGGTGCTTCAGGTTAAGAACAGTTTCAGGTTAAGAACGGACCTCCGGAACGAATTAAGTACTTAACCCGAGGTACCACTGTAGCGTAATGGCAATGGCACACACCTGAGAGGTGGCAGCATTGGCAAAATTCAGGCCTTGAAAGATTCTTGTCAAGTCCTGTTGGCTAAGCTCTTCCCCTGACTAGAGTTGAATTTATCCCAGTTATACATTATTCAGGGCAAAGCTAGGAGTAGATCAATGGCTATTTATCTAAAAGGTTTTAAAACAGCCAAAGCCAGGCTGCACATCTGCCCGGGGGGGCAGAGAGATGAGTCATTAAAAAAACCCAGATGCTCACCATTTTCTCAGGAAGGTAAGAATAAACATTCTCACAACCAAACGCCCTTCCTTTTGACATCATTGAAACCCTTCATTTGAGGTGTGTGGGGGGGGGACGTGCGTGTCCTGGGCCTGCAAGTAAAAATATATTTAAACATTGAGTTTTTGAAATGTTCATTGAGATCCACTGCATCTTTTTCACTCCGTGCTCACAACAAGGACAGCACTGGTTGGATTGCAGGCCATAAGAGGGT